AACATAAACAACATAAACACATAGTGACTGAGTGGGGGCCCCCCACCGTCTCCAAACAGCCTCCAGCAGTGCTGCTCCCGGCTGGGACACTGGCCCTGGTGGCAGTAGCCCGGCGCCTGGCTGTAGCAGGGCTCGCCGTTCATCTGGAAGCTGTCTTCAGGACAGTCTTCCGACTGGCCGGTGCAGTACTCGGGCAGGTCGCAGCTGCCCGCGGACCTCCTGCACACGCTGCCGGGGGCCTCTAGCTGCAGGAGGAAACACACACCAGGTTATCGCAGATCAACTGGAAATACGGTTGATTTCTTTAACTGTCTGATCTGGATTTCTGGTTGCAGAATAGTTAGTTTGTGAGTTTTAGAGGCACTCTTTCAGTCCTTGGTTGGGCATCAGAGGAAGGATGTGGAATGGATACCACCCTCTCTTTCCTGTTATTATTAAAGTGCTACTGGTTTGAAGAATGATGTTAATGTCAAAGCCATTAGCCGGAGGTTCTGTGGGATGGGGATGCAAAGATACATGCTGGTAAAAACACTCACTGTTGACTTTTTTATTTATTTAAATGTATCATTAACCCTAATTTACTTGAATACATTTTTTCTTTTTGCTGACAGTACAAACAACCACTTGCTTCCGGAGGAGGAATCTTCTCACTTATTCCTTAATTGGGAGGAAAAATAGTCCATTAAACCTATTTTCTCCAAAGCTTCTTTTGACAACATTTGTAAAATGTCTAAATGAATTTGTCCAGTTTGGAGATTCCAGAGATTTAACCAAAAATCTCATGGTTGCCTTTTTATATTTCAGCTTATTTCCAAATGGGGTCGGGGGGGCAGAAGTCGGGGTTCTGCCAGTCCCTGGCAGTGTTTACCAGCTGTGAGCTTCTCTATTCAGAGGGTGTTTTTTAAGGTTGTTTTCAATCACTTTTTCACAATTTTTAACAAACAGAAGCCTCATGAATTCAGCTTTCTTTGGATTGCACATCCTGAGGGACTTTCAATCTTTGGAGGCGTGACGATTTTGTTTTATGGAACCAGTTAAGTTGGTTTCACAAAGAACATGACAGAACAAGGAGCCGGTTCACTGCACCTCTCATTTTAGTCTCATAACATTTTGGCAGTTAGTTTAGTAGTACATGATTGGAATGATGTGTGTGAATAAGAGGAGTTGTGGGGACCTGGCAGCTCTGGCAGCACAGTCCCTGAGCACACTGCGAGCCTTCAGTAAGGCGGCATGTTGATGCGTCACAGCAGGGGTTGTTACACTCCTGGAAAACAAACAAAATAAACAAAGTAAATGTTTTAACCCTATAATGCCGAATGTGTCATATTTGATACGGTTTCTGAAGTCTTTTGGATCTGAGACTTTTTGCATCATTCAGAGGTAAAAGCTTTGCTCAAACCCCTGTTGTACACATTCAGATATACCTGATAACAGCCAGTAGAAGACTACACCAACATATATTTTTGACTTATTGCACGCTAATTTGATCAAAATAATTTCATTTTTTTTTTCTTCATATGTTGTTGAGGGGCCAAAGAAAGACTACCGACTAAAAAAATCCAATATTCTTCCTATTTTTCTTGGATCAGGCTTTAAAGGGTTAAATATTTGAAAACTGCTGCGTCATATTTCCTCCTTTTAATCTCTTCACATGCAGCATCACTACAAAGGAAAACCACCTTTACTTATTACATAAAAACCTGCCCAGCTCACCTCCACTGAGCCACAGTCGCACTCCTCCCCGGGCTCCAGCATGGCGTTGCCACAGTGGGGGCCCCCGGCAACGGTCCTGACGGAGGCGGGGGGGCGCAGACAGCCGGGCCGAGCCCGCTCCATGAACTCAGCGAGCTGCTGCAGGCTGCAGTCGCTGAAGAACTCCGGGAAGGCCTGAGCGCCCGTCCTGAGGAAAGGAGAGGGGCAGCAACTCTAACGTCTGTGCAAAAATATGGTGGAATGACCTACCAAGCGCTACAAGAACATCAGCGTCCCTGTCTGTCTTCAAGAAACTCTTGAAGACCCTCTTCTTTAAAGAGAATCTCCTACCCTAACCCTAACCCGTACCTCTACCCCCCCCCCCACAGCTCCTTCTGTAGTCCCTCTACCTCTATCTCTATCTCACCACTGACTCTGATCAGTGTTTCTCCTCTGTATAGCTTATTGTCATAGTGATGATAAATGTAATATTGTGTCTACTCTGTAAGTCGCTTTGGATAAAAGCGTCTGCCAAATGCATAAACATAAACATAAACTTGCTTCTATTGTTTATTAGTTTCAGTCAAGTTCATTTGGTTTCTGGATGCATACACAACCACATATTTAACCCCCGGCGTTTCAATTCAGGGTTTTCAGCATTATTTACTGCTGATAAATAAGCTTCAAACTTCTCATTTCTGAAGGAAAATAGTGTTGTTATACTTATGTTTATTAATGATATGTTAGTACTTAATTGACGATCCAGTACTTTTAAACGCCCGACATTCCTGCGGCGCCTAAAGGGGACGCACACTTTCATGACTACAAGGCTTTCGGAGCTGGCGTCCTACCTGAGCCTCTCGGCCATCACACAGTTGTGGCTGAGCAGCGGGCCGCACACGCAGCCCGGACCGTCGTGGGACAGGCCGAAGTTGTGTCCCATCTCGTGGGCCACGGTGGAGGCCAGGCCGATCAGGTTGCCATGGTGATCCTGGAGAGGAAGGGCGGACCCGTTTGCTCTGAGGTCCTGCTCCAGCTCACAGGGGGGGGAGATAGACGAGGCCACACCCACCTGGTTGACTCCCCCGGAGTTTGCAGTGCACATGGCAAACTTGTTAGCCAGACCGACCGTGTCCCCCTCGAAGTCTTTACCGCTGCAGGACACAAGCAGGAGGTCAGGAGGTCAAGATGGAGGTCAAATGGGAGGTCAAGATGGAGGTCCAGCAGGCGGTCAAGCAGGAAGTGAAATGGGAGGTCAAGCAGGAAGTCAAGATGGAGGTCAGGAGGTCAGGAGTAGGGATGGGGATCGAAACCCGGTTCTATCGAGGACCCGGTTCCACTTTTTTCAAAACCCCAAAATCAATAACGTTTGGGCTTATCGATACCAC